TTAATAACTGCTGTGATTCACTTAACAATGGTGGCAAGAACGGTTGTAAAATGAGGCAAAATTCACTTTAACAACTGTCCCGCTTAGCAACAGAAGTTTTGGGCTCAATTGTGGTCATAAGTCAAGGATTATCTGTGTTTACTGCCTTGCTGAAGGAGTTAATTAGTCTCCCTTGGGTGTTATTGATGTCTTCTAGAAAATTCTCTTGTTGTTTTTTTCCAGGGTCCACCAGGTCCAAATGGAGCTACTGGGAGCGCTGGGCCTCGCGGAGAACCTGTAAGCCATTTTTATGTCAAATTCCTTGTTAAATGTGGGACGCACACATACTTAACAACATGTGGGTTGAGTTCACACAACATATAGAACCTGCATCTTGATTAAGAGACTACAAATGATGCTGAACCCCCCCCCCCCCCGCCCCAAAATTAAGCTAAATGATGAGTTGATGTTATCACCTATACCAAGGGCCTTCAAACTTGGCAAGTTTAGGACTTGTGGACTTCAACTCCCAGAATTCCTGAGCTAACGTGACTGGAGGAGGAATTCTGGGAGTTGAAGTCCACAAGTCTTAAAGTTGCCAAGTTTGGAGACCCCCGATTTATTCATTCAATTTCTATCGTTGCCCATCTCAATTGGTGATTGTAGATGGCTTACAATACCAAAAAACACACATTTAACGCAATATTTAAAAACAAAAAACAACCCACCCACCCCCACCAAAAATAAATAAGTTTCTAAACCGCATTACATTCTTTCCTTATATTCTTGGCATAATAAAAATGATTTTGGCTAATTGGTGGACTGATGGCTAACACGTCAGAGGGAAAAGTGCAGATCAGATGTGCAGATATAGAGGGTATAATTTTAATCACCACTGCAGCTGTGTGGTTTGGCTTACTAAGAATTGCCCACCTGGTTCTCGTAAAAGAGAGAATATATATCACTGTGAAACCTCATCCCTTAGATCAGGGGGTCTTCAAACTTGACAGCTTTAAGACTTGTGGACTTCAACTCCCAGAATTCCTCCACTGGTCATGTTAGCTCAGGAATTCTGGGAGTTGAAGTCCACAAGTCTTTAAACTGGCCAAGTTTGAAGAGCCTTGCCTTAGATATATTGGATTAAAAGCTTCCCCGGAGTGTTTTCAATTGTAATAGAGTTTCATTTGTCTGCTATCAAGAATCAAGAGCGGCTGGTTTTATGTTTCTATAGTTACTGTGTTTTAAATAAGAAGCACTCTGGCAAAATCAGGTTGTTCAAGTGATTTTGAATTATGTAATGAAAGGGGGAAATTTATGCAAGTATATGCAACCCAGAGGGCTCTTAGTCATGAATTCAGACAATTTCCTTAGAAGATTCTGAAAAATCTGAGGAAATGAAAGGCAATTTGGGGGGATGAATATAGAACAACTATTTTGGAAATCTTCTACTGTTAGTCTATCCGTGCATACTCCAGAGACTCCATCGCATGGCACTCCTTGATGTACGGCTATAATTGAGCTGAAAATTTTCACCGCTAAGCGAGTTTTGCCCCATTTTATGACCCTTCTTACCACGGTTGTTAAGTGAATCGCTGCAGTTGTTAAGTTAGTAACCCGGTTGCTAAGTGAATCTGGCTTCCCCGTGGATTTTGACTTGTCAGAAGGTCGCAAAAGGGGATCACGTGACCCCCAGGGACACAGCAATGGTCATAAATATGAGTCAATTGCAAAGCATCTGAATTTTGATCATGTGACCATGGGCCATGTGCAATGGTCAGAACTGTGAAAAATGGTAATAAGTCCTTTTTTTTCCACTGCCACTGTAACTTCCAATGGTCCTTAAACAAATGGTTGCTTGTTTAGAGGCCATTTGAAGTGTTACCAACTTAACAACTGCAGTGATTCACTTAAAGACTGTGGCAAGAATGGTTGTAAGATGGGGTAAAACCTACTTAACGACTGTCTTGCTTAGCAACATAAATTCTGGGCTCAACTGTGATCGTAATCTGAGGACTAGATATATATGTCTGGACCCAAGCTGTGATCTGTTGCTTCCACAACTGTTTGTCATACAGTTTAGCTTCCAGAACTCTGATCATCTTTGTTGCTTTTCTGTTGTGGTAATTCCCCATTAGGAGAATGAGTGCACACAGGGAGATGTAGTGGGAGTGGTGAGGAATAACCACAACCAGCACACAGATACACTGTACAGTAAAATGTAGGTTTTTACTTCCAGTAAACGGTTAAGCAAAGTCCAACAAGCAGTCCAAGTCATACACAGTTTAAAAAGTCAGTATTCAGTCCAGGGATAATCCAAAATCAAAGTCCAGTATCATAAACAGTTCAGTAAATAGACTCACATCAAATCCAAGAAGAACGACGATCAGCAACAGTCAATAGGGAAAAATGCAGGAACCAAAAACAGCGAACAACAGAACATTGACCAACTAGCAACTAACAACAACAGGGCAGAACTAACAACCCAGGTTTCTGGCTCCATTTTATGGCTGTTTGAGGAACCACGCCCAATTACAATTTTAGCATTCCCTTAAAGAGACAGTATTAAAATGTCTATCCTAGTTTATATATTTCCAACCCAACTATTAGGTGACTTACATTCCTAACATTTTCTCTGCACACTTTCCATCATGTCAGGATCTTTTTATAAGAAGAAATAAATTTTATTCAACTGTATTTAAAAATCTTATATATATGAAAGTGAAATACCACTCACGCATCATCACAAAATCTCTGGAATTGTAAGGCCTACAAACTTGAAATTTGGCACGTATGTTCCTCTTGGCTTCTAGGTGCTCACTAAGAAAGGATTTTCCAAAATGACCATCAGAGCATTAGTATTTCCTATATTATTATTATTAACACACTCTGATGCTAAGGAATTCTACTCCCCACCTGAAAAGAAATCTGTTCCAAATGCAAAACGCAAGCAGAGGAGAGGAGTTTCAGTTTCACAGCAGCAACCAGCTTTAGTACAGAACAGTTGAGCTAAGCCACGCCCAGGCTCCTTGCTGTCTCCTTCTTGCTCACACAGCAAATACTGCTTCAGTTTTCAAACAGCCCTCAACTCTCTCACACACTGACAGGACGCTAGCCAGATGAATACCAATGGATGCTGGTAGGCAGAGACAAATTCCCCCCCACCCTTATTTTTCTCCCCCAAAACTAAGCCCGATCACATAGTTTCGTAGCAAAGCATGAGTATCCAGCTAATAAATAATAAACCCATATGTTCCATCCATAAATTGTTCTTTCTGCCAATTCATCCTGTTTTGCTGTTTCAGGGCCTACCTGGAAAAAACGGAAGAGACGGAGCACATGGACTTGATGGTGAGAAGGTTTGTATTGTAGTCCTATTTAAAAGTCTTCAAGTTCATACTTATAAAGGAGAATATTTGTAGCTCAGGGTTCATATGAGGAGTCCTGGATGCTCTTTGAGCTTGGTTGTTTTGGGACAATGGTTTGTCTGAAATGGTATAAGGTTTCCTGCTTGAGCAGCGGGTGGGACTAGATGATCTCCAAGGTCCCTTCCAACGCTGTTATTCTATTATATGTTTCGTTACCTAATTAGGTAGCATCATCAGGACTAGAAGCAGTGGTGGGATTCAAATAATTTAACAACCGGTTCTCTGCCATAATGATTTCTTCCAACAACCAGTTCTGACAAAGTTAACAACCAGTTCTCCTGAACTGGTGCGAACTGGCTGAATCCCACCACTGACTAGAAGGGAGTGAAATTTGCAGGAGGAGGAGGGGGAGAAGGAGTAGGAGGAGGGGGGGGAGTACAATGACTGGAGAATCCTTGACATTCTCTGAGTTAATCAAAGAAGTGAAAGAGAAAAGCCCTAGTATATAACAGAACAAACCCCACTAGTATATAAACAGAGTGAGGTTTGCTCTGTTTATATACTAGTGTTCTGACCCACACCCTTTTCCAACAAATCAAACACAATCCAAATAGAACAGGAACCTTGTAATGCTTTTGCAAAATAATTAGCTGTGATAAGCACAAGCCTTGCCAAACTGTGCAAGACTTGGCAAAAGATAACAGACAAGAAATAATTTGGAGTTTCAAAACGTCTTTGCCTTCTGCAAAGTATGTTCCTTTCACAGCTGGCTTTTATCTTCTTGAAGGAGGGGCCAAAACCTTGCAGCCTTACTCCCAAGTCACCCATGCTGTTGTAGCTGCTCTTTCCTGCGTGCATGCGCACTTGGCACAGGCTCCTCAGGAACCTCCTCATCACTGCTGCCAGCCCCACAATCTCTGAAGGCAGCAGTCCACTCCCTAATGGTCTTGGCCCTTCATCTGAGTCCTCGCTCTCCTCAGCTGTCCGCACCTGCTGCCAGCTAACCACAACAATTCGTGGTTTGCTCTTTCAGTTCCTTGATTAGCTCAGAGACTATCAAGGAGCCCCCAGTCCTCCTCCTCCTATCCTTTCCCCGCCCCTCCTCCTCCCGCCTCTTCTCCTTCTTCTCCTTCTCCTGCTGCACTGATGATGTCACTTAGTTGGGTAAGGAAACATTGTAAGAAAACAACCAAGCTCAGAGAGCGTATCAAGGATCCCTCAGTTCTCATTTATCATTATTGGTTCCAACCAACAATCCGTCCACTTTGTGTTTGTGTCTTAGATTTAGTCATTCCCCCTGTCCTTCTTTTTGTTAAAAGCCCACAATAAAAATAAAATGAAGGATGTGTGGACGTGTGACATCACTTACCCAAGTGAGCTTAAAATACAAGCCTTAATTCTTGAACCAAGATTTGGTTATACCTCCATGCTTGTATGCTTGTCTATGAATACAAACTGTCAGAGCAAGTAATTGAAAATGGGGGCATCTTAAAATAAATAAGACTGCAATTTTACATGTTCACTTGCCCATAGATGCACAAGACTATTTATTTACGAAATGCATTGAATTCTGTTCTTTGTGAACCTGTTTATAAAATGGATCAAAACAGTGTGCACTGTGGTTGATGCAACTTTTACAAATGAGACCTTTAAAATTCACTGGAACCAGCAATACTTTACTCTGACATTAATGAGCCAAAAAAACCACCCCATTTTGCATTTTTCTCATTTTTCAACGTTTCGTTTCATTATATTTTTCATTTGTTAAATTCCCATTTGGTTTGTGCTGATGTGTATACAAAACCCAAGCAATCTTCCACAGCTTGTAAATGCTGTGTTTTGGAACCCAACAATAAGGGATTTGAGAAGACTTTCCTACGTGTGCAATTACAATGTTTTTTTTGTGTAAAAGAGAGCAGAAATCCAATAATTGCTTTTTGTTTTAAATCTTAGGGGCAGGAACATTCAGGGATTTTCCTTACACCAAAAATCAAATGTTCCAAGTTTCAAAGTAGCTCTCAATTTTACAAATAGTTTCAAATATTATAAAAGCACAGGTAGTCCTTGACTTACAACCATTTGTTTAGAAATGGTTCAAACTTAACAAGAGCCCTGGAAAAAGTACCTTCTAACCAATCATCACATTAATGGCTGATGCAATATCCCTGCAGTGTGTGATCAAAATCCGGGCGCTTGGCAATCACCATGTGTGTACAATGATTGCAGCATCCTGGAGTCATGTGATCACATTTGTGATCTCCCCAGCTGCCTTCCTACAAGCAAAGTCAAAGTGAGAAGCTGGATTTAGTTAACAATTGCATGATTCGCTTAACAACTGCTGTGATTCACTTAACCACGGCAAAAATGTTTTAAATTGGACATGACTCACTTAACAACTGCTTTGCTTAGCAATGGACATTTTGGTCCCAATTGTAATAGTAAGTTGACGACTTGTTAAAAATTCTGCTTATATAAAGCACCACACAAAGTAAACAAACAGTACAGTCACCATGTGCTTTACTGCTCAACTATTTAATGTAACAGGAAATTCTACTTAGAAAAAAAGAGCATAGAGTATATATACCACAGATCCAAACTTGTAAATACTGCCATCTCCTGGCTGAATGCTACTGTAGTTGTGGAATAGAAATACATTCCAACAATGAATTCCAACAAGAGTTAGTCAACCTGAGCATCTTTCTTTCTTGCACAGGAGTGGGGTAAGGAAGGGAGGAAGGGAGGAAGGTTTAATAAAAATAGGAGAATGGATTGTCATCCTATTAAAACAAATTATTAGTATTGTCTGTAATAGTCATCAGGAATTTACACATCATTATTTCTTTATTCGTAGGGCGCTGCTGGTCGTTCTGGTGCTCCTGGAGAGAAAGGCCCTGATGGACTCCCTGTAAGATTTCTTTCATAAAATTTAGATCAAAGAGATATCAGGGTGATTTGCACCTTCTCCTGATACGTCTCCGACTTCTTAGAGGTCAAAGAAACCATTCCGCAGAGAGATTGGTATCCTCTACTGCAGTATTTCTCACCTTTGTCAGCCAGAAAAAGGTGTAGACTTCAATTCCTAGAATTCCCCAGCCAGAATTCTGGGAATTGAACTCCACACCTTTTCAAGCTGCCAAGGATGAGGAACGCTGCTCTACTGATTTCCAGGGACCTAAAAACTTGACAATTGCCTGTGATTTTTTTTTTTTTAATCTTTCCCATTCCATTTTATTTTTGATCTGAGTTCCAGTTGTAGGAGCAGAGGACTCTATCCTACAACATACTATTATATTCAGAGCAGGGGTGAAATTCAACCATCTCTCACCACTTCGGGAGGAGTGGTAGGGATGATTTGAATCAGTTGGCCCCGCCCATGCCCACCCACCTTCTTCCTTGTAGAGACCGAGTCCCACCAAGCCACGCCCACAGAGCCATGAGGGAAAAAATTTGAATTCACTCCTGATTTCAGAGAGCATTTCGACTATCTTATTTCTTTGAATCCTACTCCATCTTTCTGCCGTGCAAAGGATAGGCAGGAATCCCAGATAAAACATCCCATAATCATATAAAAAGCAGGAAGGGAATGGAGAGAACTGGATAGAACAAGCTTCCCCAACCTGGTATCCACCAAATATATTAGATTTCCATCCCCCCTCACAATCCGTATTGGTTGAGGAATTGGAGGACTCAAGTCCCAAAGGTGCTTTTCCAAAACACAATTGGAATTCCTTAGTTTTTTTTTCTGTGAAAACATTTCGCTTCTCAATCAAGAAGCTTCCTCAGTTCTTTTTCTTGGGTGAGAAACAAAAAAAACCCAAGGAAAAACCCAGCTCCCTGCCCCCGGCAGATATTTGGTGCCCATTAAGAAAGACTAGGCCAGCCTATCTGCAAGACAAAAAACCTTCAGCTCCAGGATGATGGGATTAGGACATGGCCCTCCAGGACATAATAGGATTAACCCACTACCATCTAGCAGCAGAGCTCATTACATTGCACAATCTCCTAAGGATATTGCATCGGCCAAACTTCAACCAAACTTATCTCAGCCTTTTGGAAAAGCACCTCTGGAACAACCATTACCTGGATAATTGAGAATCTCCATAGACCTATAGGAATTTGAGGGATAAGGGAAGGCTGACATTAAAAAGAGATGGAAATGGAGAACGTTGGTCATCTTTGGTGAATTTGTTGAGCTCGGTAGCCCATAAAACTGGAAGTTATTCTAGCACTTACTTGTGTGCATATCTGGATGCTTACATTTATGGTTCCCCGGGTGCACAAACTATTCTTTTATGAATATTTGATCTTGGGAAGGAGAAATCCTAAATATGTTTATCCACTCTGTTTTTTCATTATTAGTGACTCTTTTTCCCCTATCAGGGACTACCTGGGAGCGCAGGCACTAAAGGAGAAAAGGGCCAGCCTGTAAGTAAATCATGCTATATTATTATTATATGAACAAAATTTACACGGCCATTCAACTCATTCATGGGTAGTTTACGAAAATAAAAACCCCCATTGCAAAACCCAAACCCCCATCTCCCTGGTGACAACAATCAAACCAACCAGTTGATGGGGTCCCTGTTACCCTGGGTTCTGCAAGCCCATTGGCAGAACCCTGCCCTTAGGGTCTTGTGAAGTGGGGGCCCAATCTTATGTTCACATGATATGAACACGGGGAGGAAGCCATCACAGAAGAAGGTCCTTCTTCTTGGTCCCACTAGAGTGGCCTCTTTAAGAGGAAGGGTGGCATAATATAGTCAATTTCAACATCTACATCAATTCATTCGTGCATTCACTTTCCTTCAATTCATTTATTCGTTCATTCATTTTCCTTCGTTTATCGTTTTCCCTCAATTCATTCATTCATTTTCATCTATTATTTTTCATTTTCCTTCATTCAATCCAAGGGTCTTCAAACTTGGCAAGTTTAAGACTTGTGGACTTCAACTCCAAGAATTCCTGAGCTAACGTGACTGGACGAGGAATTCTGGGACTTGAAGTCCACAAGTCTTAAAGCTGTCAAGTTTGAAAACCCCTGATTCATTCATTCATTCATTCATTCATTCATTCATTCATTCATTCATT